GTTTTGAACTTTGCCAAAATGCAAGGTAATGTCAGAGGAAAGGAAAGAGAAAATGAAAGTATCTTTGGTTCGGGTGGCTTTGTGGCTATAGATGTTGATGACTCCAGCCACTGAATATTCGCTTAGTTTCTCTTAATAAGCGGCAGCTCTCCCTGCTATACAGCCCAGCTGGGTAGGTGGTGTAGCAGGACCGGCTGGCTCGTTTCCCGTCGCTCCAGGACGGCTTCTTGAAGGTTTGGGGTTTCTTTTCTTTCTTGTCACTTGAGGGAATCCCCAAAAATCAGTATCTGCCTGCGATATAGACAGGCAGGGTCCTCTGGTGGTTCTCCTTCGTTCTGCCCCCCCGTCCTGCCTCCCCACCTGAGGTTCTGCCACCACAGAAACTTTCATGTGCTTTGCCTTCATCATTCTCATACGCCCAGCACATTCTGTGTACACTTTTTTCTTCTATATATTCCCCATCATGTATGTTGAAGTTATACAATGTGCAAGTCTGTCATCTTAGTGAGTCAAATTAATGTCTTTCTTGCACTGGATTGTTTGGACAAAGGGGTGTTTCTCTTTAACGCTCCCATGAATAGCCTTAAGCACTTGCAGTTTTTAATTTCAGGAGTGGTTCAGTGAAATGAACTGTCTTTCAGATAAGCATTCAGCATTTGTAAATAAACTTTTTTTTTTGTCTTTTCTTGTAACAGCCATTTACTCACTGATGCTCTGAGAAATGTCTTCTGCTCACGGTTATCTTCTCAAGTTCTGTCTCGTTTTACTTCACAGTAAAACTGATCCCAACGGGCGATGGGGAATGAAGTATAACACATCTTCCTGAGACAAATCAGGTGTAAAGCTGATTCCTGGGGTTAAATCTTTAAATCCTACCTTCAGAACCAACAACAATAAATTAAAAAAAACCTGAAAGGACCAATGCTGACTTTTCCAGCAAAATATCCCATCCAAAAGGCAAATATTTTTTGGTCCTGTGTATTTTTTTCCCCCCGTATAATCTCCAGGAAAAGGGGGCATTGCTGTCCTAAATGCAATCAGGAATCCTTCATTTCCATCATCCTGCATCTGAAAATACCTGCTGTTAGGAGCTTCAGACGTAACTTTAAGAAATGCTTTAGGGAATAATTACTGGAGAGAGTTATCCTAAATTTCTACTTAACCTTATCTGTAAGTTTTTCTTAGTCTTGTAGCTCTGGATATTACTCAAGAGAAGGTTTTATCTGATCCATATCTCATGCATATAAGCGTTTACTGGTTCTGTTACGACTTTGCATCTGTAATATGCGTGCTAGCAGAGAAAATTCATAGCTGAAAAATATATTCTGTGGATAAATGCAATTATTTTTTTTAAAGTATCAACTTTCTGTTGAATGAATGGCCCCCCTGTTGGTGCATTGTCAGAATGGGAAAGCAGAGATCTGTGACTTTTTCTCCCTTTCAGGAGCAAAGGAGAGTTGTCTCCCTGTCTCATGCCCAACACCCCTGGGATATGGATGGGTTACGTTCATACCAGCCTCTGGTCACTGCTGGGAAATGTAACACTCCACACCCCCGTTTCTGACAAAGGCTTTTTAAGCGACCTGAGATAAGCCATTGTCTGTTCACACCTTGGTTTCTTAAAAACGGAAGATGGCAATTTTACCTTCATTGCAAAAGTATTGTGGAGATGTGTTCGTTGATGTTCGGTCAATGCTGCAATTTATGTAGGGTTTAACAGGAAAGCTGTCACCTACCTCAGATTTTGTTACTGGATGATACATTTTTTTTAATTCATTATTAGTGATATCACTATTCTTTTATTTCTTCATGTGTTCTTTCTTAGTGCAATGCAAGATTCTCTGCAAAACATTTTGTTCTGCTTTTTGTGTCACCATTATGAATTTTGTTTTGTTGCTTTTGGTAAACTTGAGTCATCCTCATACTTTGTATGGTTTCTCTGGAGGAAGAAATGACTAAAATAACAAACTGCATTACAAAAGGGAGAACTGCAATATCTAATGTTTAGAATTTGTCTAAGGTGTAACTCTGAACCACAGAATATTTTAATTTTGCCATAATCTCTGCAGAGGAGGTGGTTCCTGTAGAGTGTGAGCAGTATGAACCAAACACTAGAAGTAGGTGCAGAGAGACATTTCCTAGGCTTACATCTGCTTCTTACCTAAAGAAATCTGGATTCCAGATTTGGTTTTAGGGTCTGTTTCAGTAAGAACAGTATTGTTTCAATGCAGTGTAAAGCTCGGTGGCATGGTCATTTGCTTTTAGATGTGGCTTACATATTTCTGTGAGGACCAGGCAGTCACGCGTAGTAATTCTTCACATTCCTGGCATCTTTTTCATAATCCACTTCTAGGACGATGATAACCGCGATGAATAGGGAGGAAAGATTTTATTTTATTTTTTTTTTAAATGCCTGGAATTTATGTTTAGATTCTTGTTGTAGAATCTATAGCATTAGTATTTTTTACAGTTATCATCCAGATTATATAAATTAAATCAATTTCAGAAATTCTTCAGTAAAGCTTTCTGTAGGTAAATGAATCCTGTGCTCATCACAAGGAACTTCTAATAACTTCCTGGAGTTTTCTAGACAGTGTGTAAAATGTAAAATAAAAGCCAGTACTCAATTTCTTATAAGTCTGATTAGTATATATTTTTAGAGTGAGTCTTTAACAATTGTTATAAATTTTTAATTTTTTTTTTTTTGAGGGTTGGTTTCGGTTTGGGTTTGTTTATTGTTTGTTCTCATAAACTAAAGTAACTATACGGTAATTGCTAGTAATCCTTGATGAAGGAAAGAGCCTGTAGTTGCAATAGTTGCATCTGATCTTTTTTTCTCTCAGTTATCCCTGGACTTGTGTGACCTTTGAAATTCAGTTAGTGTGTGATGTTAGTGTATGAGATATGAAGCTGCAAAACATGAAAGCTAAATAGACTCTGCAAAACAATTCTTGACATTTTTTTAAATGCTTGTCCTCTCGCAGATTGCTTGAAGTCTATCTTTCTTCAGTAAGTTGGTTTGGGAAGAGAGTTTCGTTTCTCACTGTTCTGAGATAAATTTATGGTATGCTTATGGAAAGTCTCAGCATAGATAGTACAAAACCTTTTCCTTTCCTGTTACATCCCATCTATGAGAAGAGTTGGGAAATCCTCTGTGTATTCAAGAAGCTTTCCTCGGTTTTGGATAAGGTAAAAATCAGACCTGTTTAATTATTTCAACACCCTCTCTTCTCAGATATGGCATACTAATGTAGGGTAGTTTCTGCGATCAGGTTTGAGTTAGTTTTTGAAGGTACTCCATGAACATAACACAGAAAGCTCGTCACGGTCCAGAGAAGCCAGGAGGGGAATGGGTTATTTCGTGGTTATTGTCCTTTTTACATTTTGCAAGAATTACTTCTACTCATGTCTTAGTTTTGCTGAACAAAGTCATGGTTTCTCTATCTTCTGTGAATGAAATTTGGGACACACTTGATTGTAGAATAATCTTGGGTCCTGCTTCTATAAGGAAGAAGAGTTTCCTCTAAAAAGATCTTGTTACTTTCCAACTGGAGGTTGTATGCCTTTTCCTGCAATTTGGCCTTTCCTCTTGTGGTCGCATGCTACTTTAGAGCTTTTTAACCACTAATACATTAGAGTTTTGTTGGAGGAACATCTTGGCATGTTTGCATGACACGAAAGTAACGGCTAACGTATGCTCCTCCCATTTAGAATTGAGTTTTTGCCAAGTAGTGGAGTTTTGGGAAGAAAATTGATCACTTTGCAAAATGATGCCTTTATGTGGAATAACCCTTGCAGATGAATGAAAAAAAATAACATAATTCTTCAAAAAGCAGTAGGTAGTAGACTTTAATTTCTATGAAATACAGGGGACAGATTACCCCAGCGCAAGTGCTGTGTTACTGGTAACTACAGGTGACCGTGCTGGGCCCACCAGCAGTCTCACAGCTAAATCTTATTGATTTTTGTAGGGACCAGTGCAGCCTCTGCAGGGCTCTGGGAGGATTATGAGATGTAAGAGGAGTAAGCGCAGAGGAGCAGCTGCTGTCTCTGGCTCCAGATGCAGAGTATGAAGCTATCGATTGTATGCTTTGCTTTATCAGACATCACCCCAGTGCAGTTATTCCAGCTTTCGGGGATATCCACTTCTTGATCCTCCACCATATGGATGATGCCTCGCTTTGTCATTCGTGTATTTTTAGTAAACCTTTGGGTTTTTTATAACGTGATCATTAATAAGATACTTCGCTAGGTTTGCTGGTTTGAAGTTGACGTGCTAACCTCGTGTTTCTTGTCTGCCTGCACCTGTGTATTTGAGACACTTCAGAGCAGGACTTGCTACTTTTCCTCTTTGTATAATATTCAGCACAATGTGAACTGAGGCCTCTGGATGACGTTTAATGGTCATGGCCCTGGATGGATCCCACTGAGGGTGTTTTTCCCAAGGAAGGATCTGGGAGCAGGCTTCCTCTCGCAGGACAAGCCGTTACCCGCTCTCAGTCTGAGTGGAGACCAAATTAAAATCCAGCCTCGTCCTCTAAACCACTGTCTGTCCTTCCCTATCATGAGACCAGCCAAATTGTCGGCTGCGGGAGCGAAATCCTCCCCCGCACCAGCCCACATGTACCCCTCCCGTGACCCCCTCCCTGGCGCGCGAGGAGGCTGCACCGGCCCTGGGGTCTGTGCCGGCCCCAGCCATGATAACGACGGCAGGGCAAAGAACCTTGCTGCAGCATCCGGCCCGCGGGCCGGGGCTTGGACACGCCAAGCTGTGCCATGGCAATTGAAACACAGCTTTAGGTAAGGTGTGATTTTTAAAGCTAAGGTCGCCTTTGAGGCATTTCTGAACTCATTTCTCCTAGCAGTAGTTAGATGAGTAAGGCAGTCAAATATTTTGAAGTCACTGGGGTTAAAGAGCGCTGGTGAACATAAAGATATATATCATATTGGTCCACTGTTTGCTGATATTTTTTGTTTTCTTTTCTTTTTTCTTTCTTTAGGATGAACGCGAAGCCAGAGAAAATGTGAAAAGAGAGCAGGATGAAGCGTACCGCATATCACTGGAGGCTGACAGAGCCAAGGTGTGTGCAGGGTGAAGTCATCGCGTGACCGCGGGGGTGGGAATGTCTCCGCAGGTGGTGAAATCTCTCTGGTGCAGAGCACTGCCCGGCTTCAGCTCTGCTTTGAAGATGAGACGGTTGCTGTCGGATCCATAATTGCCCTCAGTGGTTATAAAATGGCACTAGATACAGTCACTAGGAGTAGACTTGACTACATCTTTTTGGAAAGGCAGCCCTGGCCCCACATGATAATAGAAGTTGGGAAAGGAATGATAGGAAAAGATCGCTTAATAAATACCCTATTTCTTATATTAATTTCTACAGAAAAGTTGAGAAGGTTTTTTGCTTTATATAGCTAATGCACATCATTAAACACAGCTGTGGAAAGCGAGGTGATACATGTGTGATTACTGCTTGTGTTTGTTAGAGGGAAGCACAAGAGAGAGAGATGGCGGAGCAGTTTCGCTTGGAACAGATTCGGAAAGAACAGGAGGAAGAACGTGAGGTGGGATGTTTTACCTTTTCTGACAACTTTTTGGATTTGTGAAGGTTATGGACATGGCAACTTTCATTCAACACACATTGCAACTTTCATTCAAAGTATACTTTTTTATGTGATCATTTATTTTTTTTTTTCAATTAATTTCTTACCATATATGTATATATAACATAGTGCAGCTGAATCATTTTCATCCACTGTTTAATAGCTTTTCTGTTCTATCACCTGGGTCACAATTACATCATCTTCTCAGTCTGAATTACAGCCAGATATTAGATAGCCCTGCTAACAGGAGATCTATGAAATGAGCTCCATAAATGGTGGAATCTTTGGGAACCTCTAACCTTGTTTCTGCAGGCACTCCTTTTAAAAATACAATACCATGGAGCCCTTTCATTTCTTCCAGGAAGTAGCACAAAGCCTAGCTGCAAATCTGATCAAACAAATTGCCGAATTTAATTTGGGAGACAAAATACTTAAAAAAATAAAAAATTAAGGGGAGGAAAAAAAATTTCCAAAATCTAGAAAGTTGGATTTATGATTATGGTACATTTTTTAAATTTCTAAGCAGTCTTCTACAGAATCTTCCTTAGAATGAAAATTGTGTTTAAATGAACACTTTATGGCTCTAGGCCTATATAAAAAAATAGAAACCATGTGCTATGAAGAGTACTGTTCCTAAACTCTGTTATTTTCTAGATTCTCTCAATTTTGTAGACTGTGCGGGCGCCAGTACCTGTCAGAGACTGCTCCTCCAGCCTCTTTCAGGATGTAGGCTAGCTCCTGTCCCAGCTGTGTGTCTATGTAGGTATTGACATAAAGCATCATCTACGGGAATTTACTTACATTAGTGACTTCCTCTTTTTTACCTCCCGGCAAATACAAAATATGGTAAAAAGGCTGGGGTACAGCTGTGTTTCTTCCCCTGAAGTCCCACACATTTCAAAGGATAAGTTAAATAGACTTGTCATTAAAATATTTCCATCTGTTCTGTGAAGTTCTTGAAATATAAGTCCTTGCAGAACTGCTGTGAAACACAGCTGATGCTTGTAAAGGACTTTGAAACCCTTGAATAAAATGTTCAAAAGAAAAGTGGTATTCACATATAAATGTCTTGACTGAAATCACAATTGATTGGGGGTTGTCCTTTCACTTCGAGGCACATAAGATTCTGTCAGCAAGTTGCTAATGAATACAAAGCTATATCAGCATCCCTATTGAATATACATTTCCTGAGTATGTTTCCATTATAATATCAAATATAAATAAAATACAGATATTAAAAAATATTTATTCATTTATGTAAAATATCAGAGTTCCAATATTTTTGGTAGACTTATTATCACTACTTTGCTTTGACTCTTATGGATTATGGAGATTTGAAATTTGGAATTATATTCTCATTTAATTCCCCACTTAGTTAAAGTCCTTGGAACTCGCGGAATCCTGATTAAATCACAGCCTTGCTTATTCCCCCCCTACACGTGACTTAAATGTATACTTGACATTTCAGTCTTGTGTACTTTGCTGATGTATGAAAAAATTGCATTATACAACTGCAAAAAAGTTGGCTATGAACACATTTATTATTCCCTGAGATAAACCAAATAAACAAACTGTATGAGCGGTACATTTGCATATATATTTTTTGACCGAGATAATTGCATTAAAAAACCTGAACCATTTAAGCATTCAAGAACCTTTTAAACACTACTGTGTCGTAAATACTAAATTCAGTCCAAACAGTAGTATTCAGCAGTTTGGGAAAGATGCGGTCCACTTCTTTCTTATCCTGCAGTATCTGGTGAGTTATTTAGCTCCTGTTGTTAACATCAGCTAAAACACAACTGAAGGAGCAAGGTGCAAAACTGGACCGTGAGAGTTGTGTCAAGAACAATTGTAAGACGGCAATTCTGTGATGTTAATAGCAACCGACCACAAATCAGTACTGTAGCAAAAGAGATGGTTGAGCAATCAGCTCACACTCAGATTCAAGTAAGAAGTATGTTTTTCTTTTTTTTAATGTGATTTTGCATGCATAGAAACAATAATTAATTCTGCTTTGTTATATCTGCTCCTGAGCCTTTTCTGATACTTTGGCCTTTTGGAAATCGTTTTCTTACACAAAGGCTGCAAGACTGGTCCATGTTATCAAAATATACCTGGGCTTCCCTGTTTTAATGTAGAGTGCAGTAATGAAAATAATAGGATCTGTTTGCTTAGTAGAACAAAAGGGATTTTAACAATAATGTTTACTAACACTCCCCATTTTCAAATATACAGATTGCTTATACTGAATTGTTCTGCAACAGTGTTTACTTACAGAAGTGGCTTTACGTTCAGTTCATATATTTAAAATCTGACTATTGAGCTATTCACATACCGAACATCTTTTTATCAACAAACTGAAATTGCTTGTTCAGGTCCAAGAGTTATTAATGTGATCCATCACATCATTGTTTTCTGACTTGGTTGGCCGGTACAGAATATCCATTGTAAATTGCCATTTTACATTGAAGCCTTGGAGACTAGTTACTTTGGGGAGCGACGCACTCTTTGCACAAAGAAAAGAGCTCTAATGAGCTACTGTTGTTTATTTTTCTATAATATAATTGATTGGGTTCAGTAAATAATGTAGCATCTGTTGTTATACTGTGTGGGGAAATGTCAAACCAGAAAGATAGTAAGCAGGTGGTTGAGAATGGAGAGAGAGAAAATTAAAATAGAATCTATTTAAAATATAATCTCATAGTAGATGAGCAAAAATGAACTCAAGTTCTATGTATAAATATTTATACTGAGATATAATTTGCTCAGAGGTTTGTGTGTAAGAAGTAGACTATTTAAAAGCCTTTGTAATCTTGCTTCTGCCCAGTCCTTTCTCTTTAATGTAATCGTCCTCCATCAGTTTCTGTTACTAAATGACCTTGGGGAGGTTTTCAAAGGCACAAATAGCAACTGTGTATCTTGAAAGTTCCTTGAAAATCTGGGAAAACCCCTGCCTGACTGCCTCTTCAGTTTGGAAAATTGTCCTTTAGGCGTATTTTGGGGCAGGCAGCGTGACCATGCTGCTGCTTCCATTCATTGACGTTCTCCTGAACTGCTGCCTTAAGTGAGGTGACGCCGTAACAAGGCTGCTTTCTAGGTATGGTCTAATTTTTAACAGACGCCAATGCCTGTCCATGAGTACCGACAGCACTCAGTACCCTCGAAAATCAAACCCACCTCGTTCAACAGGCTAATACTAGGCTTCAGTCTTTTAAAAAAACTTCTGATCAAAGTATTGGTGTTGTGGTAGCTCCTGGAGGTAGAGGACAGAGAACACAGACTTGGCTCTTGCCCTTAAAATCTTGACATCAGCAGTATGCGCAATGTCAGCAGGAGGACCATCATACACATTTTCAGACGTGTAATGACACTGCAGTTTTGGGGCTGATTTCATTCCAGTTGTTGCAGAAAATGTGCACGCCTGTGCTTGGAACCATCTTCCTGCAAATAATAGTAAGAATTGCTTGCTTTAAATCTTAAAGCTCCCATTTCTGTCCTCCTCATTTTCTTCTTTGACCGTTCCTACTTTTGTACGTACTCTATGGTAATACACCTTCATGATGGTTTCAGTTATGTCTTTTAACAGTGTTTTAGTTTATTTACAGTAAATCTCCTGCATATATTTCTTTTTACTCTGAACTGCCACTAAGGCTCTTGTCTTTGCAAACGGTCAATTACTCTGTGTAAAAGGAAGGCAATTTGATAAGTGCATTTAAAGAAATACTTTTACTGCCTTTTAATTTATACCCTTTAAGGAAGCAATTGGCCACTTGACGATTATTCTCTCATTCAAATTTTTTCCAAGGCTTTCTGCCAAATGATTAAATTACTTATCCCCATCATGCATTAACTGTAGACCTAATAATATGTGTTATAAAGAAGGATTTATTTTAATTAGTTGTCTGGTGGGCTGTTATTAAGGAATGAATAAAAATGATTTTGTCATTGAGATATAAAGCACAGCCACGGCTCTGGAGCACTGTGGCACATCTTGAAGTTCTAGAAGAAATAAAAAGAAAAGCTTTCTGTACTTTCCTTCTGTTGCCAGCATTGCAACCTAAATGGTTATTTTTCCTTCCTCAGGCTATCAGGCTCTCTCTTGAACAATCTTTGCCTCCCGAACCGAAAGAGGAGAGCACCGAGTCTGTCAGTAAACTGCGTATTCGGACGCCCAGCGGAGAATTCTTTGAGCGACGTTTCCTGGCCAGCAGCAAGCTGCAGGTTGTCTTTGATTTTGTAGCTTCCAAGGGATATCCTTGGGAGGAGTACAAGCTGCTGGGCACCTTTCCGAGGAGAGATGTGAGTAAATGTACCTTTCGGGAATAAATGCCACTACTTCTTACTCCTATATGTTAGATGACCGGTATGCTATAGTACAGAAGGCAAAAGATACGCCTGAATATGTTAAAGTGCTGCCAAGCTCTGTGGCTGTAAGCAAGCCAGGTGCCAACCTACCAGTGCTATCATATCTTACATATAAAATTGCATTGTAACATTGTAAAAAATCCTCCATTTCTGAAACAAACAAGTTGTGGACCATGGTCAGTGAAAACTGCCCGAATATGCTGAGCCAGCATCGCTCACGTCCTGCTTTGAAGGAAGCCGCATCGGTATTAGTACGCTGTTTAGGTTTGCTGTGGGCTGGTACTTCTGATCTTTCTGGTTTTGCCATTTTGATGCAATTTTATGTTAAAAGCAAGGAAGGTGCAGTGTCAGATAGGATATAGTTATGAGCTAATCAGTACGTTCTAATAAATTATTCATCCACCTGTTACATAATACCAGTAAATAGTCATTTATACCTCCTGCCTCAAAATTCTAATGATATACCTGCTGTGACTGATTTTCAAAATCAATACTGCTTACTGCTTACAAAAGCCAATTAAGTTCTGTTGGTTTATCAACAGATATTTATGCAATTACTAAGTTTCTTTGAAAATATATGTTTTCTGCCATATCACAGATTAACTTTCATTTTTTATTTAGCCATTGTTACAGCAAAGGTAAAAATCCGTGGGTCCAACTGTGCGGCAATTACCTGGGGCGCCGCATAAAAGGCGAAGGTAGCGGGCGCTACAGAGCCAAGCAGTGATGAGTGAAGTTCAGCAGCTTTTTGGCCCCGCTGCCTGAGTACCGCAAACGGGTGGGGGCAGCTCTGGATCAGCCGGGGTGTGTTTGCTGGGGGCGTCTCCAGGTGGCTGGTTACGCCATTTGTCATCAAAGGAGCTCAGGAACTTGGGTTGCTTTTCCATTTTGTTTCCCATCGCTGGCCCTGGAGGAAGTTCACTAGGAATAGCGCTCTGATTAGCGTGTTTACAGTACTGTTTTGTAACAGATACCTCTTGCTTTATCATCTTACTTGTAAGTACTCCAAAGGGGAAGAAAATGATGTCTTTAGCAAGCATATGACCTTGAGAGTGGATGTGATTTCTGACTATTTTTGGCATAACTCTGTGAACAGGATTGTGGTGCTTACAGCTTTTCTTCCACCTTGTCTTACACTGAGAATCCTAATCAGTCAGACTGAAAAGCAGCATTTAAGGAATCTCATTAATCACTAATTAACTTTACTCCTTAAGCATGTAATATCATTTCCAGTGGAACCAAAGACTAGAAGTCATCTGTGTTTCCAGGATTACCGATCATTCAGTGTACTTGAGAGAAGAAAAACAATCTCTTACAGTCTAAACAATGTTTTTGTGTACTTTAAATATTCTGCAAGTCCCCTACCTGTAACATATTTATGTCTTAGTACATATTTAATATTAAAAAAACGCTACAAGTATATTACTCTAACTTTTTACGTTTGTTTTGCACTTTAGCTGTTTCTGTCCTTAATCACATCATTGTCATTATTAATTTTAGTCCTCTGTAACAAAATCGAAAATTGATCAGACGGCTCACATAAGAACAGATTAAAAAAGGAGTAGAAAAGAAAAAAGACCACTAAGTGATAGCAGGCTGGTATTTTCAGTACATTGGTGCCAGGGAGAAAACAAAGGCAAAGAAAGGAGAATTTAATGGCAGGATACGGAGCAGTTGGTCTGTCGCGAGGGAAGCAAAGACCCTGTCATCTTTTTTCTATGATTCCAACCTAATAATGCCATGTATGAGGAGTCACATAAATGATTCATGCCGATTGACTCGGTGACCGTGTATGAATCCGGTTGCCATTGTGACCACCAGAGCTACAACAGACAAAAAATAATCCCCAGGGGTTTGCTAACTGCTGAGAACTATAAATGACATCTGCCATGTTCCCCAGGTTTGGAAAGTTGGAAGTGTGCAACTCTATAGGCAGATTAAAAAAAAAAAGTAATTGATGAATGCCTTGGAAGTACAGTAAAAGTAAATATTCATTGCCTTAGGCTTTTGGTGTATAGTGTCTTAAAAATACGCTGTAAGTTGTCAAGACCCTTCTGCTGTATGATATGTATCGCAAACATCCATTGAAATCTGCGCAACAGGAACAGAGCACCTGGGATGGTTGTGCTCCAGAAAACAATAGCATTTAAAACGTCTGTTTGTATTTCAACTATACATAAGTTTTTTGAAAAAATATATTTGAAAGCATCAGAAATCCTTTGCTGGAGTTTTTGCTGCAATAAGATGAAAACATGTCTTCTCAAGTTAATATTTTTTCTTCTATCCTAATCTGTATTACAATAACATACGCACCCCCAAAAGCCTTTCTGTCTTATTGAAACGAGGGGATTATCTTCAACCAAATCAGCATTTTCTTGTCATAAACTCGTCAGAGCATTTTTACCTGCTTTTCAAAGCCATCAGTCCTGATACAGTGTTGTTGAAGTATTTTTACTTCTTTGGTAAATAAAAATTCATTAGTTCTTAGTTCTATGTTCCAGTTGCTTACACAGATATCCTTAGCTAACTTAAAGTTGGTATCATAACCCTACTGTAAATACAAACTTCTACACATGAGTAAATACACAGATTAACCTTTTCCAGACACTACTTGTAGATTTTAAAGCAGCAGTGACATTCCAAAGCAGTTAAGCACATGCAGTGACTTGTTATTGGGTCTTTGTCACCGACTGTGTTGTTCTTTCTACTAGCGCTGAAATTAGATATTAACCACCTCCTCTCTCAGTCCCTTAACCAAGGCAGCACTAATACCGTACCGACCAGCGTGTTTCACACGGGTGAACCTGGGTCAGCAGGTAACTTGTACCTCTAACTTTGAAAACATTTGGCAAGCTCATCTTTTGGAGCGAAAAGCTGCATTATGAGTTCTTTGCGTTATTTTTAAATGCACCTGCAAAGGCTTTATGGAAGCAAATGTATGTGCTGATTTTAGAATTCTAGTTCCTTTTCTGCCTTGAATCACTCTAATCTTCAAAATGCTTTTAACTATAACAAAAAGAACTTGCCCTCAGCCTATTAGCACGCTCAGTCAACCTTCTTATTCAATATTTCTTCTATGTCCCTTTCTCTTAAAAGCCTTCCCAAACGCGAATTTCAGTAGTCCTCTCAGTCTGCCAGCTGCAAGACCCACCTTCTCCCAGGGCGCTCGAGACTTCCCGCATGCTCGTTTCCTCATTTCCTTCTGTGGTGGTGATCTGCAGAAGTCTTCCTAAAGCTCTTGAACGGGCATTTCACCACACTTCAGGCGAGAAGCTAAAGGTGTACCATGTCTGCTTGAAACTAGAGGAGAAATGTGAAGAACAAATTTACCCAAACCGGGCTTCAGCCACCCTGCTAGGGTCACTGATATGTTTGTGAACGTTTGATGGTATCTGGCAGAAAGGGAGGTCCTGGCATGCTCTCTGTTTTGAAAGACTATTTTTGAAGGACTGAATTTATTAATTTCTTCTGAAAAATGAAAATCGCAGTCTGCAATTTCATCTGCTCATTTGTCCTTAAGGTGGAGCATTAGTTATGTGTTTGAGAGCGTGCCTTTTGCAGACATGGTATTAGAAACTTAAGCTCTTTATTTACTGTATCTGGAAGCCCTGGTAAGCCAAGACTTCTACACTATTTCACATTTTATTTTTCTGAGCCACAGCTTAGGATCAGGTGGCAGTTAAGTCACTTAAGGTTATTTAAATGCATCTAAAATGTTGCTTAATAATTCAGAACCAGTTTGCTCTGTTTAGAGTATTAAGATTTTTTAAATCCTTTTAATTAACCAATTTCAACAGCAGTTTAAATAAACAGAAACAAAAAATCTATCTCCCTTGAAAGGGCAGAAAATAAATTTAGCTCAAATTTCATATCAACTTAAATTAGGTATGATCGGGATTTCAGTAAATTTAGGGCCAGACAAGTCTTAATATTATATGGGAGTACAGAGCAAGATATTCCTCCAAACCCAAATTGATCATTCATTCCTCTGCTCTGGCTGGAGGAATTCTTTTTGATGCCCACAGTGGTGAAAATAACACCACAGGACAGTAAGTTTAGCTGCAGCACTTGCCAGAGTCATCTGAGCAGGTAACTCTCCTCTGACGTTCTTGGAAAGGTGACGGTAGAGCATGATCCCTATATTGCTATGCCAGGTAGTCTGACAATTTTGTCTATCAGTTCTAGAAGCCATTCTTTGTCAGGATTATTCCACATTTCACTACTTCCCTCAAATAACCTACTTTTAAACTCATTAGGTGGTGGTTAAACTCTTTAAATAGCTCATGAAAGAGTTATATGTCCAGGACCATCTCTGGCTTTTAACATTCTTTCCCCTTATCATCATCTTGATAGAAAGATGGAAGAAAGATGTTATTGTGAGAAAGGATTCATGCACTATCATGGTTATACCCAATAGTGCTTTTAGTAACTTCACATAAACCAGGAAAGTAGCTTGAATATCTGTCTTATGGCAAAGGAGGATTTCAGATTTTCTGATATGCTCAAAACATTTGAGAATGGGTTTGTAAGTTCAGGGAAAATTTAACATGTGATCCATGTAATTTTTCCAGTCATTTTGGTTACTGATATTTATATTTCCTACTACAGAAAATAGTACTCATCTGGTTTAATTCCCATAATTTAAATTTTTTCAGGTCACTATAGATCTGATGGTGGCATATGTTTATCAGCTCAGATCCAGTTTACACAAGGCCAAAGCCACCTACAAAGGTAGATGTCCCTCCTCTTGTCATTTACAACTGTCCTTAAGTCAATACTACCTGCCCTTGCCTTTCCTCTCTTTTCAGGATATGTTATTTTATTTATTCAAGCAGTTATGTTTAGTTTAGGTAAGACACTGAGAAGTTGCCCTAGCAGATTGGCCACACCAGAGTAGCATATTACTGTGCCTCTCTAAGAAGCCAGATTTCTGA